TAGGGATATATGGGCTAGACTTGAGGAGGAGTATGCGCGAGACTCGGAGCGATATATATTGTAGGATTTATTATATGTTATTTTGTTAAGCATGTATTAATTATAGGTATAAGTAGAGTGTTCGTGGATGGTGGGGAGGCGTGAAAACCCGCGCTTAGTCAGCTCTAAACTGACGCCGGGGCGTCAGTGTATTGGGACCCGCTCATGCCCCCGCCCACTAATCATGCCGCTTAAACCTCGGGACTTTACCCCACCTCCAACCACGCGAGCTATGCTCCACCTGGAACAGGCCGATATTTACCCTCCAGGTTCAAGGCTCAGCCTCGTCCCCCGGATTGGTTCTAAACAAAGAGCATCAACGTTGAGTAAGACGCTACATCCAAGCTCTCGAAGTATCTTCTGAAATTCTATTTGATACCGCTTTGGGCAGGTCATGGGAATGCGTACCTAAGTATCTCTGAGCTCCGTATGCAAGATGTCTGAGCAAGGAAACAGTACCGCGGCATCCTCAGATGATCGACGCCGAACACGCGACCCAAATGCGCCTCTGCAATCACTTTCCCCATACCTTTTGTTCACCAAGGATGAGTATGAAAAGGTTGAGCAAGAGATTCCGGGTCTGACTTTTAGTATGATATTGAAATCTTATTCTGAGAACATGAGTTAATCTTGGATTTCTAGCTCAACGATCCAAAGTCTTTCAAGACCGCTGGAAAGCACTCACCGATGACCAACGAGCTGTTTACGAGGAGAGAGCTATAATAGAGAAAAGAAGATATGAGGAGGAGAAAGAATGTTGGGATGCAGTAGAAGGGGTGGACTGTTCAGGAGAATCCTCTTCGGATGAGGAAACAGTCTCGAAGCAGGCATCACGATCAACCCCTTTTAATAAACGACCTTCGATCCTGAACAATGGTGGAATAGGACACATACCCGCCACCCACGATCAAGGTCCTGATCTGTTCGAACGATTGCCCGTGGAAATGACAGTAGCTCTCGACCTCTGGGAGCAGAAATTTAAACCCAGCCATGTACGATCCCTTGCCGGAATCGCCCTTCGAGCCGGTTTACTGGGGGGCTCACTCTTCAGTTCCACCATTCTCACCATCTACCTCCTATCGCACTCCAACCCACTCTGGCGCGCCCCATTCTTCATCGCAAACCTCTCCCTCTTCCACTTCCTCGAGTTCTACACCACAGCATTCGTAAACACCGCCAACGCAGACCTCTCCTCCTTCCTCCTCTCCTCCAACGGCGTCGCATACAACATCGCCCACACAGGCGCCCTAACCGAATGCCTACTAACCCATTACCTCCACCCCACGCCCCTCTTCCCACGGATCATCCACAACATCCTCCTCTTCGGCGGTCTAACATTCATCCTCGTCGGGCAGATAATCCGCAGCACCGCCATCATACAAGCCGGCCCCTCATTCTCGCACATCGTTGCGCAGCGCAAGAAAAGCACCCACGTTCTCATCACACAGGGGATCTACTCGCTCCTACGCCACCCCAGTTACTTTGGTTTCTTCTGGTGGGGAATAGGCACACAGCTTATGCTAGGAAATGCAGTTTGCTTTCTGGGATACTCGGTGGTGTTGTGGAGGTTCTTTGATAGGAGGATTTATGGGGAGGAGTTGTTTTTGGTGAACTTCTTTGGGAGGGAGTATACTGAGTATCGCGCGAGGACGCCGACGGGGATTCCGTTTATTAGATGATGGAGAAGGGGGTGTGATTGAGTTGTAGTTGTGTTGTTGTAGGTAATAACGTAACTGGAGTTTGGAGATACCAAGGCAAGTTAGGATTCAGGAATAGAATGGAAATTTATAGTAATCATCCTATCCTGTCCTTATTTTTGTTCAAACTTTTGTTAATCCTTGATTTTCTTTCGCATTATAGACTATAGTAAACTCTTTCCTTATGCAGCTCAGCGTGGAAAATCAGTTGAGTAGGTACCACTACTGAACTCAACTCAACTCAACTCAACTCAACTCAACATAACTTGATTCAGAGTAGTGATTAGGGAGACCTACTTTAATACTTACCTCAACTTGGTAATACTTACCTACTACTTATACTAAACTCAACGTAACTTCAAGCAACTTAAGGACCTAGTCCTCGAGTTGTTGGTTAGGTATTTTGTTCCCATGCTGCACGCTGCATGCTGCTTGTCTTGGGTCTTTACTTAAGCGAGAATGTACATATAACGCGTTGAGGAGATATACTTGTACTAAGTCCCATCCACCCACTTCCACCTCCACCTCCACCTCCACATTCCCTATCCATCCAGCCAATTAATTCTCTACCTACCTCTCCAAGGCTCCCGGTGCCCCCCTCACAACCTATGACAATATAAAAGAGGTATTACGACGGTAACAACACCAACAAATGATCCCCATCCATCCTATCTTAGATCTCAGATCTCAGATCGTACGCTCCCGGGTTGTATAGCTAGGCACTTGTGTAATAATAATGGTAAGATCTTATAAGTTATAATCTAGTCCTGTTCGTTGGGTAGGTGTTTACGGTACGAGTAAGGGTATAAGTATAAGTACAGGTACTCGTATAAGTACATAAAACATAAACAAAAGATTCGTAACCCCCCCCCTTTTCCCCCTAGCACCCCCCTCAAAAAAAGGCACACTTAAGACTAAAAATCCTTGAAAAATAAAACGTGTTATTACCTATGGTAAGCCTAAGTGTACCTACCTACTTATCTATATACATCACCTCCCCTCTCCTCTTCCCACTGCCTATACATAAAAAAAGAATTTTGGTATCATAAATGCATATCCGCATCACTCAAGCACTACTCACCTCCTCACCCCCTCACCTCTTTACCACCTCACAACCCTCACCATTCATCCCTCACCATTCATTACTACCTCTCTCACCAACGACCCCTCCAACCACAAAAAAAGCAAAACATCAACGCCAGCAATAGTCGGTAACAAACGTGCAGACGCGAAAAGACCATGCAAGGTACCATAGAAGAAAATGCCATCATACCCAGATACGTACTTCATGCTCTTAAAAAAAGAGTATTAAATGAAAATAATAAGAAAACCCAACAAGGGAAACCCACAAAACAAAATACCACATATCAAAAGTCCGCCGTCAGAAAAAAGGAACGCCATAACACCCCAGAGAGAAGAGACGAAAAAAAACAACCCAGGAAATGCGTAAAAGGCGAGTTCGCAATGCAGCGTAAGGCGTGAGCCTAAAAACACAATGTAGAAAGGGGGCGTAATGCTCAAGAATCAAACATGCCCCTCTTTCTCCTCCATCTCTCGCATGTATTTTACAAAGGTCTTTTTATGCGTCTGTTCCAGGAAATTAGTAAAATCCTACGACGCATAATGGGGATATCAAGATTCAACTTACAAGACCAGCAAATCGACCATCCCGATTCACACAAACATATCTCAACCCCAACTTGACAAAACACTCATAAACAAGATCCATAGGTGAGTGAATATCAAGTGCCAAAGGCGCCTACACGAGCATCTATCAGTATGCTCCCAATCATATTATGCTTTCTCAAAACTTACAGGATCAATAAATGGTGTGAAATCAGTAGGATCAGCTCCCTCATCATCAGAGTCATCCATTCTCAGGACCTTCGTCATCAAGCACAAAGTCTCGCCCTCGTCTTCCAAATTATCCAGAGCAAATGCTAGATCAGGAGCTGGAATCAGTCCTACGAGAACCTCATCTCGAAGAATAGGTAGACCGCCATCGACCTCTCCAGCTTGATGAAGAATCTCCAGTTTCGTTCGAAGACTGGTTGCTGAGACCAGTGGTGAGGTGGAAATATCAATAACCCGTTCGCGACGTACTCGAGGTACGATATCAATCAGGTTTGAAGTGAAGACTGGCTTATGTTTGTTGTTTAAGAATGGGTAGGAGTTCATGTTGGTTAAAAGATCCTACATCGAGATTAGTGAGTGTAAAAAGAGAAATTCGAAACCAACTTACATAAATGCTGAGTGGTTCCAAAAAGTCCGCGGTCCATTTCGCGACCAGGATAGCAAGCGAGAAGGGCAGAATATAATCAAGACTTCCAGTTAACTCGAACAAGATGACCGCGAGAGTTATGGATAACCTTGTCACACCACACATAGTTGATCCGGCTGCGATGAGGGCATATACACCAGGAGTAATACACGACGTCCCATCAGCGTGAGCCGCACAGTTGCCAAAAATTGGATTGGTGGGGAATCGAAGAACAAGCCATTGCATAAAGTGTCCTACTATGCGACCAAGAAAACCGCCTACAACCATGGAAGGTACATAAATACCAGCTGGGACTTTCTGTTGGAGAGTTAATTGAATTGCCCTGTTTTGAGGGTTGGGAGAGTCGGGTATTCAGTGATATTGCCACGGGCTGACTTACAATTCCAAAAGTGATGATTGTCAAAATGCCTTTAATGAAGAATGCGATACTGAGACTTAGAATTATGGGCCAAATGTCATCAATATCTCTTGGGCAAAGTCCCATTTCATCAGGTTTGTTAATATCACACGGACTCGAGAGGTTGAATAACAATTTCGCCACAGGAAGCTTGGTGTAAGGATTCCACCAACTGACAAGACCGGTGAGTAAAGCGACAAGCATAACCTCAAGGAGTGGCCGCTTTTTGACGACTGATATCTTTCGGAAAGATTTGGCCCAAGCTCGAGATGCTTTGATGAAAATGGCTCCAACTGCGCCCCCAAGTACACCAGTTAAAGCAAATCCAACAAGTTCAAAAAATTCCCAGTCCTTCAAATAACGAACTTCAAAGATAACGATTTTGTTGGTGCCATAAGGATTCAAGAATTTGAGTGACAGAGCCGCAGTGATACAGCAAAAGAATGTCCTAAACAGAGTTTTGGCAGGGAAAAAATACGCGACTTCTTCCAACGAGAACAAAACACCGCCTAGAGGAGCTCCGAAAGCAACTGCAACACCGGCCGCGGCAGCAGCCGACAATACCTCTCTGCGTTTCCCATCGTTCCGGTCGTATTTGGAGAACAGTCGGCAGGCGATGTTACCCACGCAAGTTGCAATATGCACAAAGGGGCCCTCTTTTCCTAAGCTTAGACCTGAAGCCACACTTAGAATCAATGCAGCAGTCTTAATCACCAATGTTCTCACGCCCAAAAATCCGTGCAAAACGAAACCACTGAGAATAACTCGAACTTCAGCAACACCACTTCCCGCGGCTGAGTAGTAGACCATGTCCCCCTTGTAAGAGCCCTCTGCATTGGATTTGGGACTGGCAGGACCATCGTCTTGTTCCTGTGGCGCCCGGGGATCTGCAGCCAGATTTTCATCGAGCGTACTTATGTGATATGTTGAGGGTACGATAGTCTTGGTCGTCAAAGTCATCAAGCAAGAGACAGTCGCAAACGTCACCACCAAAATTACGAAGATAACAAATTCCACAATGTCTTCGGAGACGTGGGGTATTTGAACATAAGTTGACCACGATTTCCAGGCGTCGCATCGACCTCCGTCAGGGCAGCAGTGCTATTCTTCTTGTTAGTCAGGTACCACATACTAAGAGGTGACCCGAATTTGATTTTTGTATATGATACTGGCATTCTGTATGGGGTTGGAGAACTCTGGTTGGGATTGCCCAAAAGAAGGAGCATGGTTCATGGAGGAAGCATTTGAGTATTCAGGGTTCGAGTCTGAATACAATATAGGCTTCTTAATTGAAAGAAGTGTAGAATCTGCAAGTCCAGTCCCAAAAACATGAAAGAAACCTGCCATATACATACCTTTTCGCTAATGAGAAATCCATCCGAGCAATAACCATCTTTCCAGTCAAAAAATGGAGACTCGGATACATCGACAAAATATGCCAGAAGTGCGGTGAGACAGCCAACCAAAGCACTCAGTATCCAGCCTTGTATACCGTCGATCGAAGCCAGTATTTTCCCACGAATATCCGTCCGGCTTCGCAGAGCCTTTACTCGATATGCATCGGCAATACTGTCGTGCACCCAATCGGTTGAGGTGAACTGATCGTACCAAACTCGCTCGTCGGTATACAAGTTGCTTTTTGATTCAGACATCGAGTCGTGGGTAGACAAGGCGCCCACCAACCGCGCTCCCCAAGACGAGGCACGACTGTGGTTTCTTGCAGCCCGAAGACTTCCTGGGAAATGAAAGATCAGTTCAGAGATACATGGTCGATTTGTAGAGTGGGATAGCTAGTACCATTAACACTCGCATGGCGGGAAAGACGAGGCCTTCCATTGCCATTATTGGCATCCTGCAGCCGAATCCTGGATCGACCAGCACCGTGGGAGAGACCGCCTCCCAGCAGCGGAGTTCGCTCATCGTGGGTGCTCACGGCACTCTGAGTTCGTGAGAATCGTGGAGACGCGAGGGGCGATGTATCGGCCGAGGGAGCTGCGTTATTCGGCGTCATGGTGAGGTCGGTCCATGTTGGAGTTCTCCTGCGGGAGGAAGACATTAGGATGATATAGAGGGAGTTCCACGCGGAAGTGATATCCGTCGGGGAGGTTGCATATGTTGTGTAAGCTGCGGACCGTGGTGGTGTTGGGGGTAGAGGTAGAGGTAGAGGTAGAGGTAGACTTGGTATGGACTTGGTATCGGTATCAGGTCGGTAGGTATCTACCTAGGTATTTCCTGGGGCAGTGGGGGGGAAGGGTTGAGAAACACAATACTCGTACGCCGCGCGGCACTGCCCAACGACGACAACACCGCCTTGAGTGATGTGAGACGCAGACCTGGGACCCGACTTGAGAATCATGGTGAGAGAATTTCCATGCACCACCACCTTCGTGCCCTGTCGCGGGGGCGAAATGTCGCTATTCAGAGACAGGCGTGACCATCATTCACAGGTCTCGTGCAACGACTGGCTCAAAGGCTGAATGTGATCATTTTGGAGGTTCGAGGTTCCCGTTCCAGTTCCTAGATCTCTGGTCTCCACACCCATGGGCCTATCATCGTTGCGCTACGTGATATGTCTGCTCCGTATATCAGACATCGACTGCAGGGTAGGCAGTAGTAGAAGGTATCACGAGAGACCCGGGAGCAGTTGGTGCGAGCAAAGATTATCTGGTACTGTACAAGTAGCTACCAGTACTTGTACACCTAGTACTAACCTAGGCTAGGTGCTGTACTTTTCTAGCATGTGAGCACCGCATTGCGTCAATTATGTACATGAAGTCCGAGTACGGGGAGACGGGCAACCATGAGTATAAAATTCAGGGTCCTTGGGTGGCTTGCGGGCTGCACTTACTGACTGTACGAGTACTCGAGTACTGCTCTCTACCCCGCTACTCGTACGTACCAATAGGCACTGCTCTTCAAACGACCCAACTTCAAGCCAGAAGTACTACAGTACCGTGGTACTCGTCGGGTTCATAAGTCTGAATCACCTAACGCCGAAATCGTTTCTACTACTACCTAAAATTTCTACAACCCTCAATATTAATTATACTTACGTACCTAAAACAAGCACCTAGTAGTTGTTAGAGGATGCGTATATAGTAGCTTTAGTTACATTTAGGAGTTGTATTCTATAAATTTTAGTTGTAGAAGCAACATCGGCGTTAGGTGATTCAGACTTATGAACCCGACGAGTAGTTAGGGAATTGCTCCGGAAACAAGCATTTTCCAATGCAACCAATTCTGGCTGCCGTATATATTCTTCCATGTCATTGAACGAATCACTATACCCGTCGTCTCTCAAGTGGAATTTCCGCTGCCTTGTGGGAATTGTCTCATCACTCAGCTGCGTATTGTAAATAAAAGCCTCACACCCTAAGGTTCTTTACGATGGGCGTCATGTGGCAGGAAATTCTCTCTTAAGCTGGAGTAGGTATTTTTCTGTACCATAATATACTTTAGTGAGTCTTCTAACAAACTCTTAAAGCTATCATAACATTAACTTATTTAAGAAGAGGCAAGTTCAATTATTCAAGAACCAACCAAATTGCCTGGAAGCAATGGAGTAACAAAAGTGCTACTACTGTACCTCTGTTGGGTGTCAATCGAGAGTAGTACTCGGCTACCAGCACAGCACCACGCTAGACATATATTAACTTATTATTAACAGTGGAAAGAGATAGGAGAAGTCAGGACAGACGGTCGATCGGATCTAAGACGGATTTAACATATGCCCCGTTTTCAGCGGAATCATCGAACCAGAGAATCGCGTTTGGCCAATATGTATTATGCTTGTTTACATGTGATTTACGTACATGGTGTGATTCTTAGCTGTCAACCTTCTTTACTCGTCTCGGAGTCGTCTAAGAATAAAAAGCTTATTTTCGAAAGCATTCACAACCTGCCGAGCTCTAGGCAAGCAAACTAGGCTGGTAGTAGTAGGTCACTGATGATTGGATATGCATAGGTAAATTACTTACCGAGAGATTACAGTATCACCTTCCACTCGCTGGAATTGCAAGTCCATCGCTACAGTACTTTTGGAGAGCAAGAAGAATATTTATGAGCGTTTTCTTCCTCCAAGGAAAAACAAACGATGCTCTTTTTTCATCAAACACAAATAGTCTACATATGCCACTTAGACTTGCGAATACCGGTACCAGAAATAGCAACAACAACTGCCATCGGGCTGCCGAGACATTACCGGTATCACTCCTTCTGCTAGGGCCTTACCAGATCTACGTAGTTTCGGGTAGGATTGGAGTGGAGTGGAGTGGAGTCCAAAAAGCCGGTCGGGGCCAAGACCAAAAAACTCGCCGATTGAACACTTGAAATCGTTCTCCCATCATCCAGTCAGCATTTAGTGAAACTTCAAATGTGGAACTCAAGCATCCGGGTTGCTTCCAAGATGTCTTCGAGCCGATACCTAGGGACGAACTTGTTGGACCGATGCCAAGTTCATCGTTGGTGAAATTAAGCCTTCCTCCACTTCCCTACGAGAAATCTCGAGAATCAGACGTCCATTCTAGGTAAGTGACTAATACGAAGTACGACATGCCGCTGAATTAGCTACCAACCGGTAAATACAATACCTTGTTGGTTTTGAGGGGTAGAGAAGAGGGGCAGAGCCATCTCGTTGAGTTCTTATCCAATCATTTGACCAAATCTAATCCTTTCAACAAGTGTCCAGGTACAGTTCCACTGATACTCTGCACATTTAGAGTTACTTCGAAGTGGCTCTCCGCTGCCTCGGTTATGACCGCGCTTTTCCAGGGCAATGCATGAGGCTGTTTACTCCATATACATCCCCATATTTTCGCGGAAGTCTGTTTAAGCGGCTATCCACTTCCAACCCAAGATGGTAAGACGGTCATGCCAAGCGAACGCATCTCGCTTGGCGTGAACATGGGGCAGATATGCATTTTAGGAGGATGGAAACGAGATACTTAAGTAGGTAGATGTCTTTCTATTGGGATTTTCTGGCCATCTTGTTTTCAAGACTCCTTCCACTCTTTTTACTCTGGTTCATCGCGGTTGCATCCTTCAATATGCACTCCACCACACTTGGTCGCCTCGTGGCAGCTGCTTCGTTTCTCGACTTGGTATCTGGATCACCACTATCGCCAGTAGCTAGACAAGAGGTCACACCATATGCTGCTACAGTGAACGGAACTTATGCTGGTATTCACAATGAACAATTCAATCAAGACTATTTCCTTGGAATGCCTTTTGCCCAACCTCCAATTGGTCCGCTTCGCTTCAGAAATCCAGCCTCTCTCAACACTTCCTGGTCAGGTATTGCCAATGCCACTCAATTCTCAGCAGCATGCCCACCTCAATCTGGTGACAACGTTTCGGAGGACTGCTTGAGCATCAACGTTTACCGACCAGCCGGTTATGAACAAGGGGCCAACCTACCAATTGGCCTCTGGATTTATGGCGGTGGTCACGTCTTTGGATCCAACTCGGATCCTTTATACAACATGTCCTACATGATCCAAGAAGCAGTTAATGTAGGAAAGCCATTCATTGGAATCAGCATCAACTACCGTTTGCAAGCCTATGGATACATGTATGGATCCGAGGTAGTCAAAGCAGGTGTTGGAAACTTGGGTTACAAGGACCAACACTTGGCTCTGAGATGGGTCCAGGAAAACATTGAAGTTTTCGGTGGAGACCCAACCAAGGTTACCATCTGGGGTGAAAGTGCTGGAGGAATGAGCGTCGGAGCCCTAACGATTGCTCATGGTGGTGTTGACACAGGTCTTTTCCGCGGAGCAATCCTTGAAAGTGCAGGACCTGTCAACCCATTCAAATACACCACTCCACAAGAATGGGATGTCTGGTATGACGCCATTGTTGAAGCTGCTGGCTGTTCTGGATCAGCGGATACACTCGAATGTCTTCGAACTGTGCCTGAGGACCAGTTGAACGCAGTTCTCAACAGCAATGTCACCGCACCAATCACTTCCTTCGGTATGGAAATCGATGGTGATTTCATCCGGGAAAATGCCCGAGAGCAATACGCCGCCGGAAAGTTCGTCAGAGTTCCAATCTTACAAGGACATAACCACGATGAGGGGACTGCCATGACTTACCGAGGAGTCAACACCGACGAGCAATTCTTGACTGCCGTCATGAACCGCGCCCTCAACAACGAGACCGCCATGGAAATCGCAAGACTCTACCCCGACATTCCCGAGGACGGAATTCCCGCCACCTTCCACGGACGACCAGATGCCACCCTTGGTCTGCAATACAAGCGAATCACTGCTGTCATGACCGACTTGATCTGGCACGCACCTCGCCGTCTCCAAGCCAAGATCCTGGATCAGTACAAAGTTCCCAACTGGGGATTCTTATTCAATGTTCTTCCCCCAGGGACCGCCTCTTCGACTGGAGTGACCCACGCCTTGGAGATGCCATATGTGTTCAACAACCTCGCTGTTGGATCTTACGGACCAGTTACCCAGGAAGCACCTCAAGAACACAAGGATATCGCTCGCATCATTTCCAAATACTGGATCAACTTCATCGTTGACGGGGACCCAAACAGCCTTCCACGTAAGTCCTCACTTCCTTCGAACTATTCGCTTTATATACTAACGAGATCACTAGCTGTCAACCGAACCTGGCCACAATGGACTGCTGAGTCTCCACAGCTTATGGAGTTCAACGTTAATAAGACTGAGACCGCTGCACCAATCCCAGATACCTACCGTGCTGAGGGCATTGATTATATCATGGCTAACCTTGGAAATGGGTTTGGACGTAAGAGATAGGTTGTTATGATATGAGCTTGGATGTAGATGAATAATGATTAATTGAGGGAAGGAAAGGAAAAAATATGAAAATAAATTACGTACTACCAACCTTTCGAATGAATATTAACGTGAATTTAAAAGAGACTAGGCTGTTGTACCAACTTATCTGAAGTTGGTTTTACTCATTAACCTAGATTTTTCGGACAACATCTTCATTCGCGGAATCTTCAGATAATCATTATAATATCTTCACCTCGTGACCTCAAGAAGAACCGCCAATCCCAATAACCAACATCCAACACTCCTTAAACTGTCCCCCGCCTCCTCAAACCCACCTACCTCCTACATTCACGTGACAACCCTCCAAAAACCCCCGCCGCCATAACATCTCAAACACTAACTCCCTTCCTCCTCCCCACATCACCCCCCTGTAACAACACCCAAAAAATATGAATATGTCTGCAACAAACCCCTACCCCCAATTTCTCCTCCTGGGCGACTCCCTAATCCAATACTCCTCCCGTCTGCACCCACAAAACGACGCCGAGGGAAAACCAGTGTCACTTACAAATACAAACGCGCGAACCTTTTCCTTTGGCGCGGCACTGGCTGAGAAGACGGAAAGATGTTTTGATGTTGTGAATCGGTTTGTTACCTCCTTAGTTTGTTAGTGTGAGAGTGGGCTGGTGGGGTGGGTTGGTGGGTAGGTGTATGGTAGGTGAAAATGGCTAAGATGTGAATAGTGGTTTTAGTGGGTATAATACTAGTAATATCCTGCGTATATTGGATCGTCTTGTTCCTGTGCCTGAGGTGGCGAGGGTTGAGGTTTTGGTAGGTTCATGTTCTTGGTGTTGTTTTTTTCGGGATAAGATTGGATTGAATATCTCGTTTTTTTTTAATTCATGAAGAGGGAAGGGGGAAGAGGCGAGGATGCTGATGTGATGATATAGCTCCTCCTCCTAGGCGCAAACGACGCATGTCTCCCAACGAGTTCTACAAACCAACACATCCCTCTCGCAGAGTACCGCCAGAATCTCAAAAGAATTATTATACACCCCGCTGTACAGAAACAGAATCCAAGGATCTTACTCGTCACCCCGCCACCTATCCATGAACCGCATCTAGAAGCCGAGGATTTGAAAAAGGGTAATGGGGCACTGACGAGATATCAGAAAGTTACTAAGCAGTATGCTCAAGCTGTCAGAGATGTAGCGTCAGAACTCCATGATAAGAAGGTTATCTTAGTTGATCTTTGGACGGCTATGATGGATGATGTGAAAGCTAAGAGTGAGAGTGAGATTGAGGGGGATGGAGAGAGCTTGTTGGGTGAGTTAAGGCAGGGTCTGAATAAGAGGTTGCATGAGTTGCTGGTTGATGGGTTGCATATGTCTGGTGAGGGATATCGGATCTTTTTTGATGCTGTTATTCGGGCTTTGGGAGGGAAGTGGGGGGAGGAGGGGGTTGATGGAGAGACTTGGATTTTTCCGTGAGTTGTGAGTTGGAAGGTTGGAGGATATGGTGCTAATTGATTGTAGGAAATGGGATGATGCTCCGAGGATGGAGGAGGGGAGTTGAGTTTAGGGAGAGGGTGAGGTTGATAAGTACTTGGTGTTTATGTAAGTTGCAAGTCTAAGAGTTGGATGGGAACGATGCTAATTGTTTGCAGGAAATAGAATGATGTTACGATAGTTGAGTAGAGGAGTTGAATTAGAGAGAGGATGATAGAGTGTAATAGACTGTAGACTTCCTGCTTTGGAATTTTGCATTGCGGGAATGGGGCAGCTGTTTGTTCTCCACGCTCTGTACTAAATCCAAGGGAAAACTCAGATTTTACAAGCTATAGAAAATATAGAATTGTAGATGATAGAGGTGTATGATAGACGCAAATTGAGTCAAAATTACTTGGTACTTACAGTAGTATATAGCTGCTGGTTTGTTCTATTGTCAATAAATGGGTGATGTAATAGACCTATATTATCTATATAACTAAGTCCGATGTCAAATGCCCAAGCAAGTATAGCTACCTAGGTAGCTAAGTTCATGCGTACTTATAGATGTCGTTGTACGCTAGTACCAAAGGAGTGGAGCAAGCTAGGCTCGAAGGAGAGGAGCTAGCTAATAATCATTTACTATTACAAAGCGACAATAGCTTTCCAAAGTTAGAAAAAGATAACTGGTCGTCTATTCTGTCCCTACAGAGAATGTGGTGAGACAAAGTGTTTCTAGAACGAGAAACGAGAAAGAGAATTCCACAAGATGCGAAGAGAAAATTTGAAATAAATAAATGCATGTGAGTTTTCTAGGTGATAGGCTGAATTCTTCTTTTGGAATGAACCTTACCTAAGTAGGTAAGCTCGTGCTAATAAGAACCTATGCAGCCTCGCAGCCTAGCCCAGATTGGTGACGCCAAGGCTAGACGACACTACCCCTGCATTCGGATTGCTGCGCTGCGACTGCGCTGCTAGGAGCATGTACCGAGTACTGGTAGAGCGTTTGATCCAGCATAGCGACATCAATCCCTCAAATCTCACCATTAACAACACTCACAAGATACAACTTCACCTTTCGAGCTCATCCACGCATTCTCACTACACTCCTCCATCGCCCACTCCATCAACAGCGGCATCAGCACCAGATTCGGCCTCACCCTCACCCCGCTCTATTCCAACTCCACCTCACTTTCCCACGCTTCACCTGAACCCCCCGTTGGTTACATTCGTCCACACCATATCTCCCCCTTTTTACCCTCAAATCTACTCGAGCCATCGAGCCCAGACTTAAACGCAAACACATCTTCAACTGCAAAACCCGCACTCGATTTACCCATCTTGCAACGACCTAACGAATTTACGACATCGATCGAGCCACAGTCTTCCACCCTTCGAAACATTCGATTTCTCCTTTTCGTACACATACACGGTACACGCACCAGTATTTCGTATTATTATCGTTCGGAATAACAGTTATCTTCGCGCACACACTTTACCCCCGGGCGGCGACCGGTGCTCGCAGGTCGATGTGGAGGAGGCGGGCACTGTGATTCCTCCAAAGGCCACTGAGAGCATTGTTGAAGTGGTCGCTTGCTGCCGTTTTTCGAATAAGCGCATTTCGTCAAGTTTCTAGTGTGATAGATATTGCAATCATCTTGTCCTGCAGTATTGTTGAAGGCACCCGAAGGAGTCATAAACTTGCAAAGAGTTCCAGGGGTCCACTGCAAACGCAGGACCTGAGGGATACTTTATCTCGTCTTTCTCAGTTCTTCCCTCTGTATAAGTACTGTTTTGGTCTACCGCATACAAACTTGAGAAAGCGGAACCTTTCCCCAGCCTGCAGTTGACTTGGCGGCAAACGAAGTACGGGCATGGATTCACAGTTTACACCTACTCGAGAAGATTTGTACCATGTCCAGATGGACGTTAAACATGTTCAGGCTGTACAGATAAACCACGCAGAAAGATTGCTTAGGCTGGAAAAACGCCAGGCTGATGATGCTGCACTGAAATCTGTCTGGGGAAATGGGTCTCCATTTCCAAGCGTACTGAGCGGAACCCCTCAACAAGGTCAGTGCAGATTGCTTGCTACCCTGAGCGAGTAATGAACTAAGCATATCACAGGTCCCGTCCAACACCATCCCACCGACGTTTTTGATGATTTTGACGATGAGCAAAGTCACAATCTCCTTGGAAGTCTTCAGCTGGAGGCTGAGGAAGAGCCGGTGCGTCGTGGAGCATCGAGAGCGAATAGTGTCCGTTTCGATGTCAGCGCTCTCCAAGGGTCGAATTGGAACGTGGGTTCAAGAAATTCGGGAGACTTTGGTCCTGTTCGTCCAAGCAGTGGTATTGGAAGTCATCCCATGACAGAGCGATCGTTGTCACATAAATCAGATGGCAGACATAGTTCAGCTGGGCATTCTGTACACTCCATGCATTCTGGAAGAAACAGTAGCCTTGGACTTGATACCAACTTCATCATTGGTGGTCAAGACGATGACTCTCCATTAGATACACCTGATCCTCCTCCTGGATTATTCGTCTTGGGTTCCGTACCCTCAATCATTCGATGTTGGCTCACAACTAATTTTTCACACAATGCATTACTCTACGCTGATATCTGCTCTGGTTCTCAAAAGTCTGTTCTCGATTACAGTTTGGTAAAGGAACTTGGACTCACAGAGCAAATCGAAAAGACCTCAGCTGGCCATCACATCAGACTTCCCGTATATCTCCCTGAAGCTGTCATAACTCAGCCAACTTCGAGATCAAACAGTCCTGCTCCGCAACTTCCCACCCTTAGTGCAGATTTCGAAATCGTAGGCCTCAACCAACGTAACACCCCTGAGCGCAAGCAGGGAATTCGTATAATTCTTGGTAGTGATATCCTCCGCGTCCATAACGCGGATATCTTCTTCTCCCAGAATCTCATGACGCTCTATGGCGATGACCGCAGCAAATTATCCGTCCCGTTTGTTAGACCAGAGGACGATAACTTGTTCAAAAACTTGTGCACTTCCAATATTCCCCCGGAGAAGAACGAACTGAAGGCGACCGCAGCCCCTTTCACTCCAGTAGTTACCAAAATCAAAATCGGAGCCACTGAAACTGCTGTTCCTAAGTCTGTCTCACCCGTTAGACAGGAAGTTGTAAAAGCAAAGCAGGCTGACCAAGCCGCCGCGGCCAACTCAGCACAACCCGAATCGCCTTTTACACCTGTGTCAATGTCCGAATCGAGTACCTTGGATCGAGTTACTGGTGCTTCGGAGAATACATCGACTGTCCCTAACCATTCAGGATTAGAAAAATCACAAAACGCTGAACAAACACATGGAGCTGACGGATCATCGCCCGTTGCACCACCAGAGTCTAATCGCCGAGATTCTTCGGTTGGTATCTGGGGATCCTGGCGTCATGGAACCGTCAATGGAGGCGAGACTGGCCGCGAAGCCGAATCCACCAGTGGTTACCAGCGCGCAGCCCGAGGAGGTAGAAGCATGAAAGTCCTCAAGCCGTCGTCAAAGTCGGTCTCTTCGATTGCTGTGCCATCATCGCGATCGGTATCCTCAGCAGCTCGTCCAGGAGCTGCCTACGATACTCCGCCGGCTCCTCGCTCGGCGGTTGAGATGCGCCGGAAGAGTCAGGTTGAGAATCCACCGTTGAAATGGGAGAGTAAACGAACCAGCAGTGAGGAGCATAAGCCTGGTGGTGTGGGAAGGACGGTCGTTGCTAGTATCCCGCGAAACGAGAATCCGGTTGGCGGTGCGAGTGCGTTTTCGTGGATGAAGGCTGCTAGTAAGAAGGCTACTACTACTGCTGAGTAAGTGGGCGCGAGATGGATGGTATCATGTTCACAGTGGAAGTTTTGATCGCGTGGGTTGGGCTGTGTATATCACTGGATGATTTGTTGCGGGGACAGGGAGGTAGTTGGGAGACCTGGAGTTGTTATGAGATGTAGACTTCTTCATCCTCCCTTTGTGGGAGACGTGGAAATCAATCATAAATCTATTGAACATGTTTTCTCTGATACAGTACTTTTTTCCTGGTTGTCTGACTGTTTGACTGTTCCTTGAAGTCGAAGGGTGGGACACCTTTGGATGAGATGATATGTTATTGTAATATCCTAGATTTATACAGATCTACTAGAGAAGGTAGGTTTTCTACTCCACGGTTTTTTTTATTTTTAAAAAAGTCTTCTAGGATACTTATACTCAAGTACCTACCTCTTTCGAGGTTTGGGGTTGATCTTAGACAGATAGGGTTTAGAGGAGTATGTGAAAGAGAGATTAAGAGAGGTTATTTGTGAAAGTTGGAATTCTAGGTAGGTAGATACTCTGTTTTATAGTTTGTGCTTCTATTTTGGAAGGGGGTGTTCGGGTATAGTATATGGTAGATGGTAGATACTAGATGGTGGATAGCGAAAGAAAGGAGATTGATTGAGGGAATATGTAAATAGCTGAGAAATGTATTCTAAGGGGTATTCTAGGGGGTAATACTTTCTCAAAACTAGGAAAAGAAATAAGAGATAGAGAAGAATTATAAATGTCGAGCGTTATTATAGTAAAGGGATTAGAGTTAATCATGGGGAGAGAGGGGGGAGGACAGAGTAGTTTGGAAAAGAGAGATAGATAGAGGGATAAGATTTATAACTTACTAGACGCTAGATAGTAAAGATAAAGTAGATCGATCAGACGAAGGGAACCAACAGAACAGCTGAGAAATCCAGAAGAATAAGCAACCGGAGAAAGAGTCCCTTTTAAGATCGCCGATTTCTCACTTCTGTCTACGGAGTATGTGCAAAGTGATCAACACCCACCCCACGAGGAACATGTCCTTGACATGAAGGAGTCAGGGATCCCTGAGAGCCCTAACTGCAGGTACGCCTTGGGGACATAGCATCTGGCTGGTGAGCGGACCCGAGAACTGGGTTGTGACATCACGGTGTGGTGGGAGTCATTTCTATGGGAGGGGTGACGAGGGATTCTCGCGGTAAGACGGCGTGTGTTAAGGTGTGTTGGGAGGTGACGGGCTGAGCCTCATATACGTATCTCGTACGAAAGTACATGATCACTGCGTGGTGGTGTTATTTTCGAAAAGGGAGATATCATGGGATGGGTTTCTGGGAAGGTGAGAGGTGAAATTGACCCCTGCTCTCTTATCCGTACCCGGAGTTCTCCCAGGAGGGTATCTTGGCCCGTGACTTTTTTTCCATCAACACCAGACTTTTACCTCGACATCTTCACGCGCCTAATCTGTCTCTGTCGTGACCTTCCACACCAGCTGCTCCCCGAAAGCTACTCGTTCTCCTTAATAAATACCAGCAGATTTCTCCCGCCCGTTGGGCCCCTCTCACCATGTCCAAATCCACAATTGCACTCATCGCCGCCGTCAGCGCTGCTACAGGAGCAGGTTTAACAGCAGCCATGATCTCAACACGTTCCGAAACGAAGAAACAATTAGAAACTCCCTCCGTTGCCGTATCAGCAACATCCACCAACGCCGTCCCATCACCAATACCCGCGAGTCTTCCCCAGGCAATACCAATCGGCGCAAAGGGGACATTGGTGATTCCACCCGTTGACCCCGCAGGTCTTTTCCAATATGGGTTCCCGGGTCCTGTAGCGGATCTCGCAACCCGCGCAGCTTTAGTCTCGTCCTACGACCGAAGATTAAGGAATCCCGCGTGGGTAGCTGAACACATCACGCCCGAATCGCTCGCCATTTCCGAAGGCGACCGAAAACACAGCTCCTTCGTCGAAGACCACGACGTACCCGAGAAGTTCCGCGGCAAACTCAAGGATTACTTCCGCTCTGGCTACGATCGAGGACATCAGGTGCCCGCCGCGGACGCGAAATGGAGCCAGGAGGCGATGAACGATACGTTCTTCCTGTCGAATATGTGTCCGCAGGTGGGCGAGGGCTTTAATCGGGATTACTGGGCTCATTTCGAGGATTTCTGTAGACGACTTACGAATAAATATCCTAGTGTGAGGATCGTGACTGGACCTCTATACCTCCCCAAGAGGGACACGACGGATGGCAAATGGCGCGTCTCGTACGAAGTCATTGGCAACCCACCGAACATCGCCGTGCCTACCCATTTCTACAAAGTCATTTTCGCAGAAGACGGAACGAGTACAGGCCAAGTCGCCGTCGGAGCCTTCGTGCTACCCAACGCCGTGATCCCGAATAGTAAACCCATCACGGACTTCGAGGTCCCCGTCGAAGCCGTGGAGCGCGCCAGTGGATTGGAGTTCGCGACGAAACTCCCCGTGCAGAGGAGGAAGAGGCTTTGTGCGGATACGATGTGTGCGTTGATTATCAAGGAGTATGCGGATAAGCAGAAGGCTTTTGCGAAGACGCCTACGCGGTCCAGTCCGAGGAATAATGCGATTGCCAATGTTGCCTAGAGAGTACTCTGGTTGGTTGGGTTGGTCGGTTGGGAGGGATGTAATGTTTTATGTATGTATGTATGGTTTAAACCAGGGAAAAGAGAAGTCAATCAGTCAGTCTTACATTAGATATACAGAGATGGCATAGCTCGCGAGGGCGTAAAGATGTTTTTTTTTCTTCTTTATTTCTCCTTTCTCGCTTCTTTTTTCTGGTTGCTATATATGCTTTTGTTGTTTTGCTACAGTAAGGCATTGTGGTGGATGACAGCATGGAGGAATAGGTAGCATGGATGGAGCATAGCATTAGGTTTGGGCGTTTCTTCACTTTCTACTTTTTGCCCTTCTTTCTTTTCTTAAGGGTCTTATACCATTTTATTATTATAGTATAGTAGTGCCTTCATGTCTCTTTCTCTTTCTTCTACTCTTAGTCAATATATATATAAACCAACTCCTACTAATATAAATATCCAACTATACCCTCTATTATTCAACATTATAACATATCACAATACATCCCACCTACCCTACCCCATCCCACCAAATTCCACAACCTTACCCATTCCATTCCACCCCTCCTTCTCCTCCTCCCAGGGAGTTTCTTTCCCTTTCCCCTTATAGCATTCCGATTTTAATTTATTCTCCATTGTTACCATAGTTTACTAGTAACAGTAACAGTAACACTACTATACATACATAGGTTACATATAACACATTTCCTCGGAAACAGAAAAGAGAAATAGAAAAGGGTAATCTCAGTATAAGAGTAAGAATACATCTCTTTCAGAGATCCGAGATATAGTATAGTACGACCGTACGAGGCAATTAGGAATCAATCTCTGGGTATCGAGGCTCGTTGCTCGAGGATTCTACTAGATTGGAGAAGGGGAGAAGGGGAGAGGAAAGAGGGTTAGGAAAAGAGATGAGGTGAGATATGGTACGTTTGTAAGGAGATAAGGAGATAAGGGAATAGATACGTTGTGCTTGATATATACCTAGGTAAAGACAGGCTTTAAGTAAGGAATATATCTAAATAATATCTATTCGTAGAGCTACTAGAGCATGAATTATAAGGAAAATAGTGATTTCATTTCATTTTTTAGTTTGGTTCGGATGGAGATCACAGGACTAGGATACGTCCTTGAAATGCTTTCTTTCTCTACTACTACTAAACATTCTTTTACTTCGCGTGATCAGATCTGTTATACACCTCAACATCCCATCTCCCATCTCATCAAACAAACACCTCCCAATAGACAAAGAAAAAACTACCTCGCACGAGTATACTTCCCCCTCCTCTGCTCCATCTGCAAACTCTCCTCCTGACTAGGCAACGGCCCCCTCCTCCTCACACTCCCCCCACTACCTCCCTCCTCATTACCCTGCGACACACCAGTCTGGCCACCCATCCCCGGAATCGCACCAGCAAAACCCGGAGGAGGGACTCCCATATTAGGCGGCGGCGGGAAGCCAGGCGGGAGCTGGAAGTTTCCAGGCGGTGGGAGGAGACCCGGTGGGAGCATGCCCGGAGGCGGAGGTGGGAATTGGGGATTCGCGCTGCCGATCGGGGGTGGTGGTGGTGGGGGGAGGCCGGCGTTCTTNACGGCCCCCTCCTCCTCACACTCCCCCCACTACCTCCCTCCTCATTACCCTGCGACACACCAGTCTGGCCACCCATCCCCGGAATCGCACCAGCAAAACCCGGAGGAGGGACTCCCATATTAGGCGGCGGCGGGAAGCCAGGCGGGAGCTGGAAGTTTCCAGGCGGTGGGAGGAGACCCGGTGGGAGCATGCCCGGAGGCGGAGGTGGGAATTGGGGATTCGCGCTGCCGATCGGGGGTGGTGGTGGTGGGGGGAGGCCGGCGTTCTTCATCATCTCTGCGAGACGGGCGAAGTCGGGGGGGTTGCTTGGGTTGAGACCTGGGAGGGGTGGGGGGACGTCGAGGGAGGAGTTGTTGAATGGGGGAGGAGGGAGAGGGCCGCCTACACCTGGGATTTGGATGGCGGATGGGTTTTGAGGAAGTGGGAGGCCTGGAATTCCTGGGAAGGAGGGCGCTTTGGAGGGCATCTTTTGGTCGACTAACCCTTCCATTTCGTCTTCTAGTTCTTGCTCTTCTTCTGCTTGTCTTTGACGGCGGTTACCGCGGCGGTCCCATGTTCCTTGGGCTTCGGCAGCTTCTTCTCCAATGTGGTAGCGGTCGTTGAAGGAATCGGTTTCGCCTGGTCGAGCACGTGTCCAAAAACGAGTGACTCTGTCGTTGGAGCCGGAGGCAAGGATGTGTCCCAGAGGATGCCAATCTAGTGACCAGATGGGAAAGTCATGTGCATATGGGATTTTATGAGCTGGATGGATAGTCTGAGCTGGGGCAGTGGTGGGATCGGGAGAATCGTAAGGAGCGAGAGTTGGGAGGACTCCAGGGGGGTTATTTGGCTCATCAAGGAGGTAATGATGTAGGGCTCCATCACCACCACCGGTGCTTAGGAGAGATGAATGGATTGGATGCCATGTTAAAGTTGAGATTTCCTTCTCGTGGCCTTTGAGTAATAGTATGTCACGCATCATTCGTAGGTCGAATACTCGTGCTGTTTGATCTCGTGCTGAGGTTGCGAGACAATCACCTCGTACTCTTTCGAAGAGTGTTCGGGTGATGGTATTTTTATGGCCACGAAGAATAGTCAACTCCTTATTTCCAGACTCCCTAGGGTCCCATAATTTAATGAGATGGTCCTTGGATCCGGAAACGATCAATCCTTTGGTAGGGTGCCAATCAACAGTCTTGACATCCCATGTATGCGCGTGGATACTTGACTCTTCAACACCGCCAGCAAAATCAAAGATTTTCAAGTGAGCATCATCGGAAGCCGTGACAAATTTGGAGTCAGTCGGACTAAAGGCGATATCTCTTACAGGCTCCGTATGGCCTTGGATTACTTTGACGTTGTTAAAATTAGGTTGCCAGTATTTGATTAGACCATCGTGGTCAGCTGATATCAGCCAGTCGTCACTATGCGAGTAGGCTAACGCTCTGATGGCTACATCATGTGCTTGCATGATGGTTTCAAAGTTGAACCCGGTGCCATTCCACAGTGTAAATTCTCCACTACTGGACGCAGTAAGTAATCTTCGACCTTCTGGTGTCCATCGAACAACATTGACGGGATGTTTGATTTTGTTTAGAGATGAGTGTAGATGTTTTGATGGAATAGAATCGGCTGGATTTGAAAGTCTTGCTAGGGGCGGTAACATCTATTTAAAGTCAACATGCGGCTCTTGAGAGTTGAGTATGATTCAAGCTTACATCAACAATATAACTTGGACTTGGTCGTTCCATCTCGCCTTGATATCCTCCTTTGAATCTCGGTTGACGATTCCGCATCCAATGAACCATAGTAGATCCATAATCAGTAACAGGTCCTAGGAATATGGTGTTAGCGAAGTCTCTATAGATTCTCGTATCCTGAATGTTGCTCTGTCCAAAGGTTGGGAGGCAGGGAATCATCACGTGTCTTTTTGGAAGGCTCGATATGGGTCAAGTTGCAAAGACATTTTTGTATTGGAGAGATTGATATTTTGAAGATATAAACAGGATAGGATGACAATGAAAACTTCAAGACCCATTTTGAGTGGAAACTGCGCGACCGTCCTAGTTGCAACAGCTCCCTTGGAACAAAAATGCACATCACCATTAACACCATGGACATCGAATCGTCGAGTAACAAATGGACCACACTTACGTTTGCCTCTTCCTCGCCCGAAGCCTCCACCTTCATAAGCGCCGCCGCCGCCATCCTGACCTCCAAAGTCGCGCTCGCGCTGTTGAAATGCCATGTTCACGATCGTCTCATTATCCTCCAGTAGTATTGGTCAAAAGGTAGTGTTTTGGTCGGTAATGACCGTATGGGTATGATGTGCACGCGATGATGAGATGTATGAGTTGTATGGAGAGATATGAATTGTCGAGGGTCATCTGGTTCAGATATCTATCACGCTTTGAATCCTTGTTCTTCAAGTTGCGATCGACGCCTGAGGCAGCAGGTAAGGTACTTTTTACCGATATTTAACCATGAACCTCGGCTGAGATAGCTACGGCTCCCTTGCACCTTTCCAGCCAATTTTGTTTCTAAACAACACAACCTAGAAATGAAAGAATTATTCTAGATGTATAGAAAATGAGAAGCTAACTATAGACAATCCTTCGCTGCACCGTGGAAATGTGTTTTGTTCAAGTGAAGTCTCTTGAGTCTATTTGGACCTGCATTACCATTGGAGCTGTCACTTGGAAGCTTTCAGAATAAATGAACCCAATCTAATTACCTTCAAAATCCTCAAAAGAAAAGATATCTTATTCGTCAGAGCGTTTCCCTGAATTCAAAACAAAAACATTTAATAAGTGAATAATAGAAAGAGTACCATTGTTATAGGATAATTGAATCAATTGGTTGAAATTCCGCAACACCAAACCACCAATGGTAGGAATTCTCCTCCGTGGCGTGATAGTCTCGCCACTACCAAGTTCCAATTTACGTTTGAATGGCTGCACCAAGAAGTTTAGTGCTCTCCTTGAATCTATTTTGATGGTCGCTTCCAGCATTGGACCTGAAGATAGCGTCCGTCTCCTCGTCCGCGGTTTCCCGGAGCCAGTCCTCGCCTGTCCTCGCCAGTTCACCAAGTTCTCGACGGGTCCCTCCACATTCATCCTAATCCTTGCATCATTCCTCCATCGCTCCCTCCCTCCGATACAAAACACCACCACCCGATATCCTCTCCTCGTCCCTCTTGAGACATCTCCATCCTTTCCCTTTCCACATTCTTGTTCTCCTGCTTCATGTCTGCGTAACCCGAGCCAAAATGGTGACAACCACCGATTCTGCAAAAGTGACAGGTGCGGACTTTGCTGCCGATGCCTCTGGCTCTGGCACTGGCACCGAGAAGAAATCAGCCACGCCACGTCCCAGACGATCCGGGACTGGAGTATCACATGTCAACGGCTTTTCGTCTGCACCTCAACCCCTCGCCCCAATTCGGGTGCCCTACATGAAAAAGAAATATCGACATGTTGCAGCTCCTCATTTCAAGGCAAGAACGTCTTGTCTAAGCCATGATTCGGATGTCAGCCCAAGTTTTTTGGGCTTTAGGAATCTTATGATAATTGTTCTGGGTACGTGGGGTTTCTGGGCGGTACAAGGAATGGGATGCTAATTTTCTTACAGTGGTGGGCAATTTACGATTGATGATTGAGAATCTCAAAAAGGTACTTTTCAATATTATTCATTTGAGTCTTTTCCAACTACCAGAAATCTTATAGTTGGACCTATCGTTCGGCAAGATTTAGAACAACTATTTTGATTGTTCCGAAACTTTCCCAATGATATTCTCAATCTCAAAGACTTTTTCCAATGGCCAGAATGTCTTGATTTGTTTTGATTTTTTTTCGTTGATTACGATCAGAAACTAATTGGCTTTAGTATGGAGTATTGATTTGTATCCGATGTCATGACTATCGTCAGCAAGACATCCTCCTAGGCCTAGCTCTCTTTCTCTTGGTGCCCTGCCATCTCTTCGTCGCATACGTCGTCGAATTATCTGCAGCGCAACACGCCCGAGCAGTCCTCACAAAAAGCAAGAGACGTAGTGGAACGGCTACACCTGGTGGAAGTTATGTACCATCCGAGGAGGATCTTCGGCAATTCAACTCGACCTGGAAGTTGATAGCTTGGATCCATGGTCTCAACATAACCTTCTCCTTGTTTATTACTTCGGTCGTGGTTTATTTCTTCGTACACCACCCATTGATTGGCACTTTGTGTGAAGTTCATGCTATCATTGTATGGCTAAAGACCTACTCGTACGCTTTCACGAATCGAGACCTTCGTCATGCATTTCTCCATCCTTCCAAGCGAGAGGAGGATGCTCTCCCAGAAATATATAACAAATGTCCCTATCCACAGAACATAACCCTCGGCAATCTCACCTATTTCTGGTGGGCCCCTACACTGGTCTACCAACCAGTCTACCCCAGAACAGCAAACATTCGCTGGGTATTTGTTGCCAAACGTATGGCTGAAGTATTTGGACTGAATGTCTTCATGTGGATTGCCAGCGCCCAATACGCAGCACCTGTCTTGCGGAATTCCTTGGACCATATGGCATCCCTGGACCTTCCATCCATTCTTGAACGACTTATGAAGCTGTCTACAATTAGTCTGGTCATTTGGCTAGCTGGTTTCTTCGCCCTATTCCAGTCTTTCCTCAACGCATTAGCCGAAGTAATGCGTTTTGGCGACCGAGAATTCTACACTGATTGGTGGAATAGTCCCAGTGTAGGAGCCTACTGGCGAACCTGGAACAAACCCGTTTATCAATTCATGAAGAGACATGTCTTTTCCCCTCTGATCGGTCGCGGATGGAGCGCACATCACGCGAGTATTGCTGTCTTTGTCTTTTCGGGAATTCTACATGAGCTGGCGGTGGGGGTCCCGACTCACAACCTCATTCTTGTGGCCTTTGTAGGTATGGTCGCTCAACTGCCATTGATCGCTATCACAGCACCGCTCGAGAAGATGCAGGGTGTCAATGGAAAAATAATCGGGAACTGTATATTTTGGGTATCATTTACACTCATCGGGCAACCTCTTGGCGCGCTTCTCTATTTCTTCGCATGGCAGGCCAAATATGGTAGTGTCAGTCAGCAGGCTGTCAAACACTAGCTTCCTATAGACTTCTGGACTTCCTTATCCAACCAAATCTACCACCTTTTTAACTCTAGATGTCGGTTCTTCAATCGTGATTCGTGACTTCATCTGTCGTTTTCTGCTCTTAGCTCTGCCATCAAATCACCCTTATCCCTCTTTTTGGCATCCTCTGCTAATCTTTTAATTACGAATGTTGAAATCTCCTTCACTCTCGCCAGGGCAACTTGAACACAGCCCAAGAATGCCACTGCATCCACGGATATACCACCCAACTTGGCGATCTGACACAGCTCCCCATCCTTATTGATCCCAATCGTCGCCGACCCCTCCCTCAACTGCTCCTCCAAAAGCGTCGAATCCAGCAGAATAACCGTCTCCCCTTCCTCGACCGTACTCGGGTAAAAACTAAACGTCACACAGTACGGGAAATGCAACAAGCTCAACGGCACCGGATCCCTCTCCTCCAGCGTATACACCGTCACATTCTCCCCTTCCGAGCTCGTATCCGGTTTCCTGAAGTGCTGCAGTGCGGCTAGGACGCTGATACAGGATGCATCGATGAGGTTCCCGTCGTGGGAGAGGATGTGGACGTCTGCCCGGACAGACCAGACTTTGTGCCCGGCTATGAGGCAGAGGGATTCGGTATCTAGGGCTTGCGAACGTCGGAGATTCTTCTCGAGGATTCGGGAGAGGAGGATTTCGGGGTCGGAAGGCCGGGAGGTTTCGTAGTGTGGGGAGGTCATGGGGGAGAGCTCGGTGGTTATGGTGAAGAGGCCGTCGAAGGGTTTGTCCGGATAGGGGGTTGTTACTTCGGCGGAGATGTTGGTGTGGATTCTGTTGATGGGGGGTTGGGTTAGTCTTTTGGTTTGTGGGTTGGGGTGGGGTATGGGGAGGTGATGGGGTTGAGGTGTGGTTTGGGTTGGAGGTTGATGGAAGTTGGGAATTGTAGATAGCATTTGTATCTCCATCATAGATGTTCATGGAACTCTTATGAATATAGAAGCTCAATAGATAGAGACTTGAATACTCTTCAAGTTCGCGCAACAAATCCATAGCAAATTCCACATACCTAGTCTTCCCTAATCTCACATCTGCGACGCCGAATTCATCTCCAAACGATAACTCCAAATCGCGGAATTGGTCAAAGGCGCGGCCATCCAGACGGAGGTTTTCAGCGAGAGCCTTTTCGAAGAACTGTCTCTCGTTCACCGAGGGCTCGACTTCTCGCGGCATGGTGGATGGGCGTGTGGATTGGTGGTTGTTGACATGGGGGTTTGGAGCTTGAGGTGGGATATTTTTGAAGGGAATGATTCTGCCGCTTTTGCGGTGAAGGGAGCTTACTGTTTGGGCTTAGCGTGGGTTTGGTTCCCCTTCATGGGATTTATCTGGAGCTGCTGCCTCATCATTTATTTGACGGACAACGTATGACGAAGAGTATTACGATTTACAACTTTACTTTCTATCGCAATCATGACGACCGGTATGCGCGCAAATCTCTATATTATAGGTACAAGAATGCTAACGGATTTAAAGCACATAGACCAACCTTCGATCCAGCTCGTGGAAAAGAAGCCCAGCGCGGTCCAGCATACCACCAACGTCTCCTACCCGCACACACCCAACTCAAAGTCCGTAAGCCAGGACAAGGAGGAGATGCAGATCATCAAGTTCGCGATTTGCGAGCCGAGTTATTGAAAGCTGAGGCTGCGCATTTCGCAAAGGTTAAAGGGGGGCCTGCGCCAGCTCTGCCAGAAACCGATGGAGAGGATGCGGTGATGGGTGGGACGAAGAGGCAGCTTGAGGATGGGGATGCGGAGGATATTGATGCGAAGAGGAGAAGAGTGTTAGAGGAAACGAGGGATATAGATGCGGATAGTGAGGAGGATGAGGAGGATAGTAGTGATGATGACAGTGACGATAATGAAGACGAAACTGCGGAGCTACAAAGGGAATTGGAGAAAATCAAACGGGAAAGGGCGGAGAAGAGGGAGCAAGAGGTAAGTCTAAAGCCTCACGCTTGCGTTTATAGCTTTACCTGGACTCCAGGAACTAACAGACATGCAGGAACGAGAGAAAGCTGCGGCGGAAGAAGCTGAACGAGAACATGATATCGCTCTCGGCAATCCTCTCCTAAACCCGAAATCCGATTTCAATGTCAAGCGGAGATGGGACGATGATGTGATTTTCAAGAACCAGGCCCGTGGGACGGAGGACAAGGGAAAGAAGAAGGAATTCGTTAATGATCTTCTTCGATCGGACTTTCACAAGAGATTCATGAGGTCGGTTTCAGAAAACTTTCATGGCATATAAATTGGGGCTAACTTGTGTTACAGTAAATACGTGAGATGACGAGGCATCGGCGAGCTCTGTACCTTTGTACTTTTAGTGGCGTTGCGTTGGGGTCGATAAATCCTTGGGGGTTTCCTGCATGAAGCTGGTTCTCTTCTCGAATTGATGGATAGAACAGGCCTAGACCTTCATATAGTAATAACTCTCGGAAGAAGGGTTTGGAATATCCGCATGCTTCGTGACTGAGCCATACACATGAGGAATTCAATAGAACGTGGACAGATCAAACTTCATCCCAAACCGTGTTGATTTAAATTCATATATTTGAGGTACGTAGAGAACCCAGGCAAGCTGTCCAAGTGTGGAGTGGCATATATTTTCGTCCAATCGTGGAATTTTGATAGGAACTTCTGCCAAGATTTCCAGCCTGTCAAGGATCTGATGGAACAAAAAAACCGGGGTTGCCGATCATGACGCTCCCCTGCACAGCGTGGCTAGCGTGGATGGATTTCTTGGTTTCCTCTCAGAGTTACCCCACCTCAGCTCTGCGTTCATCAACGTTACCAGAACCAGCGATGGGACAGTGTTTTCTTTTCGCCTCTCACATCAGGTCACCCCGCATTTTAAGCTCTTTCGCTGTCAATGGAGGAATATTCTCCCTTACAAGCTTTTATGGAAAGTCAAATTCAGCTCTGAGAATGAACTTTTGCATCATTTGAATCCTGTCTTAAGTCTGCTCATCTTATCATTCTTGAAGCGTTTCTTCCTCGAGTTTTTTGTTTTGTTTTGAGAGATGCTTCTTGTATTGAGGCATTTAGAAGCTGCGGGGTACTTCCTGTGGCTTGAGGGCTTCTATATCGTCCCGACATGGTGGACGGTGAACTAGCGTTTGCCAAACTACCTATGGAGATCACGACAAGCTGAAGAGTGCCTTAGCTTAGATATTCCTGATAAACGGAAGTTGACGCTCGCACAATTTGTTACCCCGCTCAAGCCTCACGGGTACCTGTACCTGTATTACTATTACCTGATTTTAACTGTGCCTTGCTGTCTCGTAGTGAAGCAGTGTGAGGGTGAGGGTGCAGCAAGTGCGTTGTACAACTTGTGCAGCAAGGCAAGCACCGATCGTGGTGGGACGGTGGTATAAACATGCTATTTCTGTACCACCAATATATTGTTCCTCGTAAAAATGACGCCTCTGGATGTTGGAGAGGACGAGTTGCAGCGCAAGGAACAGAGTTGGATGACGCAACTTTTTATTTTACCAGATTTGAGTAACCCCTGCTGGGTAGGGTAGACGCGAGAGAGCTGGGCTGGCTCGGCTGGAAGATGCATGGCGGGGTCTGGTGGGGGGGTTCACATACCCACGGAAGCCTGCCACCATCGTCACTAATTGAGGACCAATGAAAGAGAGCATTTCAAACTTTGTCTTTCGGCTCTGTGTTTGTATGTCCTGTCTTGCTTGATATATAAGACTCCCTTCCCGTCTCTATTCAGTGTTTCTCTCATCAACAACTCGACTCACACTCTTCCTATCAATCACTTTTCAATACTTCCATATCAACTCAACCTTCAAGTTAGAAACTAACAACCTTCATCATGTCTAACTACAACGATAACAACACCGTAAGTTCATTTAATTTAAAACTAATTCTATTGTTCTTGGTTCTGACAGACTTTCTCCCAGAGCTCCTATGGCGATAATGACAACTACGGCGTAAGCTTTCACCTCTAAGTTCAGCCATTGCTGTTCTAGAGTCAAGTCCTTTGATACTAATTCTTCTTGTTTCCAGTCTGGTCGTACAGGTGGTAGCAACACCTATGGTGTAAGACATCCCTCGGTTTATCATCTTCCATGGACAGCCATTGCTGTCTATCAGACTTTCTTAATAAACATCTCTATATCTTATTAATATTCACAAAGCTCTAAAGGAAAAAGCTAACGTATCTCAGTCTGGTAACACCGGATCTGATTCCTACGGATCATCCAACCGCACCGGTGGTGGATTCGGCAACGACTCCTCAGACACCTACGGTTCATCCAATACCAACACCGGTTCAGACACCTACGGCTCTGGTCGCACGGGGGGATCCGGCCTAGGAAACACAGGCTCAGATACCTACGGTTCATCCAACACCAACACCGGCTCCGACAACTACGGTTCCTCCGGCCGTACAGGCGGTTCAGGACTCGGCGACGATTCCAACACCTACGGAAGCTCCAACACCAAATCCTCATCCGGCTACGGAAACGAGTCTTCAGACACCTATGGATCAGGCCGAACGGGCGGTTCAGATACCTACGGTTCATCCAACACGAAATCTTCTTCTGGATATGGAAATGATTCTTCTGATACCTACGGATCTTCAAACACAAAATCTTCATCTGGATACGGAAATGATTCTTCTGATACCTACGGCTCAACTGGCCGCACCGGCGGCTCAGGAATAGGCACCGACACCTCAGACACCTACGGATCCCGCACAGGAGGAACCGATACCTACGGCTCCTCAACCACCAAATCCTCCTCTGGCTACGGAAACGACTCCTCCGATACCTACGGCTCTGGCCGCACCGGCGGATCAGACACTTACGGTTCATCCAACACCAACACCACCTCAGACTCATATGGCTCCGGGCGCCAAAACGATTCTTCGAACCCATACGGCACGTCGAACACCGAGGCCTCGACGACGGCTGGTGGTGCCGGGTATGGAAATAAGACTTCGTCGCATGAGGGGAAGGGGGATAGTACCATGGGGAAGATTATGGAGAAGGCGGGGAGTTTGTTGAAGAGTGAGGGGATGCAGGAGAAGGGGCAGCAGAAGAGGGCTGGGGCTGGGAATGAGGAGTATGGTAGTTCGGGGAGGAATGATGATTATTAGATTGGGGGTGAGGGTGTGATGGGTTGATTTGTTGTGGTTGGGGGGGGGAGGGGGATTTGGGATTTGTTTAATGATGATGGGATCGGCAGTTTTCGGGGATTAGGAAAGTTTTGGCTTAATTGAATGTTCCTTTTTTTTTTTGTCTTTTGTTTGTGCCTAACTTTTGAATCTTATGACTTTTGTACGTGAGGGCTTTTGTGGTGATGAAATGTTTGGTGGGAATTTCTTTTGCGGTTAATTAGGTGCGTGTATGCATACTTTCTTCTCGCTTCCTCTCCCCCTCCCACCGTAGTCTTTGTGCATACGAGTACGTTGGATCGTCATACTCGTAGTATCACATTATCCCTTGTCAGTCTTACGCTGTCTACTTCCTACTTTGTACTAAACGAAATGTCTGCCTGTATACTTGGAATGAGATGCCTTGAAATCTCCTCGTCTATGAACGATGCCAAGAATATCGAACGAGTCATCCGAACATCAGCTTTTGTTTCGAAAACATACTATATTTGATGAAACGTAGGGAAGAAGACGTTTCTTTATTAGGGCCTGTTTGGCTCGGCGTGATTCTAAATACAGATTCAGGGTCTACTATATAAAATTAGAGTTTAGTACTCTATACGAGTTACGAGTTACGAGTTTATAAAATGTTTGGCTCGTTCATTAGGGTGATTTCGCCAGCGGTTTTTAGTGATAGTATTATAGTAGTTTATTATGGTATGGACAATTAGGTTCATTATTTATTAACAGGTTTGGCAGGCGAATTTTAGTAACGGGTTAGTATCGGATAAAGAGCACATAGGGACGGTTTCTAATGCAAATACAAATACAAGGAGTCTATTTTCAACGCTCGGCAGATGGATGTGAGAGGCCAGACCTTGAACAGCTCAAAGGTGTGGTTTCGAATATTGAATTAAGAAGTGCGTGAAGACTACATACATGCGAGCTCTTCCTCTATATATAGAGAGAGGAAGAGCTTCCTGAATATTCCAAGAAACTTGCAAGAAACTTGAATGACGAATACATGATGTCAGAAGAACAAAACAAGAAAGTGTGGAATGGTGGAAACCTGTTTGGCGGTGGGGTAATGGCCAGTGCTCAGCGGGGACTTTGGTCAGTGCTTAGCGAGGGCATGGCCCGAGCCTCCATCATGGGTTCCAACCCTCACAATGGAACCATATTCCATGGAATTCCAGGTGGAATGTTCTACATGGAATACTTCCGTAGCACCTATAAAATAGAATAGAATCCTTCTATCGATTGGTCTCTGGAATTCTAGGAGTTCTACGGAATTCTAGAGGCTTGTTCTAACTAATTAAAACGTAAGGTTTAGGATAGTTCTAAGTGAATAGGATCGATGTAGTTATTATATATATATTCGAGTAAATAGGAATACTAGTACCTAAATAGATTACTTCGCAATTAGCTACTCGGTATTGCTCCGTACACTCTAGAGTAGAAGGGGGAAGGGGGCTTTATATAACATGTCCTGGATACGCTAGTCTAAGTCAACCTTAAATGCGAGCTTCCTATTAGCCCACCGGAGCTGATAGGGTCATGTGACAGATTCCATCTAGAAATTCCACATATTCTATAGAATATATGCCTCTGAAATGGAATTATTCCAGAGAGGGGGTCTGGAATGGAAAGGAATTGCGTTATCTATTTTGAACACGAAGGCTTCACTAGGTCCAATTAAGGACTGAAAAGTAGGATAACTTGTGAATTAACTTTTGTTGGTACTAACAATACTTGAGCCTCTTCGAACCACGCTTGTTAGTCTCAGGATATTTGCACTGATATTACACGCAACTCGTCTACTTTTTAGTATAAACCTAACTTCTAAACTCTCACTAAAACCCGCTGGCAAAATCACCCTATTACATAAACAGAAACTAGTACTCCGAATACTATAATCTGGCTTTATTCGGAAATGTCCTATACAAGTCTACGATATTACATTTTGCTATATCGTAATACCTAAATCCATAGCTCGCTTATTCTACCTAGCGTAAACACTACCACTTTATTCACTTCATCCACCACTATAAATATATACTTATATATTCATATACCTATTATGAAATCCCTTATTTAAAGAACATATTATAAGTAGTGTTATTATACCTTTAATATATTATATTCGTGGCTATATAGTATAATACTATTTAAGGACCGGCGATTACACGTCTAAGTATACAAATAATTTCATCTAAACAGTATTTAGATTATAAATAATCTAAAGTTATATTCGATAAGTGATTAGAGTTTTCGTAGGCTTTGTAAATCCCGGGGTACGTATCCGAATATCGTAACTCCCCTCTGGGAACTCGGTAGTAGAGATTCTCGTATACGTACGAAAATTTCGTACATAGGCCCAATTAGGTAGTTAAAAGTAGAGATCTAAGTACTATAAAGTCGACGTCTCTACTTTTCGGATTTTATACTTTATAATCCCCTACTAAGCGAAGATTAGTAATAAAGGATTAGTAATTAATCTACTTTTATTTATTACTTTTATAAATATAAAGTCTCCTTCTATCTCTTTACTCTAATTACTATACTTACAAAAGTATAAATAAAGTAAGTATAACAAAGAACTTAAATACTAAAGAATCTATAATTTATATAAAGACTCTATAAATAAATAAAGTATAATAGTCTTTGTATCTAAACTAACTACTATTCTTTAAAAGAAAATGACATCCTTCCCTTTATATTCTAACCTTTAACTATAAAATACTACCTTCTAGGACCTTAAGTGTGACGGTTATGGTCACGAGGGCTGGATGTCACATGCTCGCTTAGCGAGGCGCTAGCGCGCACGACCTGTATTTAGTTCCCAGCTCTCTCGAGCTCTCCTTCTTTCCTCGTCTTTTGTCCTAAGAATAGAGTGTTAATTGTTCTGAGTTCTACCTGAAGCACGTCTGTCACATTACAAAAGACCCTTAGTTGAGGCTAAGTATCCCAGGTCTAAGTTCACGTTCACGTCCAAGTTCAGGTCCACGATCTTACGTCTCAATTCTCACGATTTCTACCACTTTCTTGTGCGCAAGAACCCTACACTTTACAACACGACGAAACCTCTTCTTTTTTCGACTTCTCTACAATGGATGCCCTTCAAGTTCAGTCCGCCATCGCTGAGTTGCAAGCTGAAGTCCAGCGACAGCGCGACGAGATTCACTTACTCCGGTCAAGAACATCCGCAAAGCCTAAACCTTCCCTCCCAGACCCTGACAAATTCACTGGCCAGGCTCATAAATTCGACACCTGGCTTCCCTCAATCAAAGCAAAGCTACGAGTCGACGGTACAGCTATTGGAGACGCTATTGCGCAGTTCTACTACGTCTACCTCAACCTTGACTCCCACGTCCAAGCCATGGTCCTTCCACAGCTCTCTCAAGCAGAAGACACCCAAAGCTGGGACTACCAAACAATCCTCGAACAGCTCGCGCGCGTGTACGACAATCCAAACAAGGTACAGGAGGCGGAAGACAAGCTATTTGCCCTCAAGCAAGGTGCTGACTCAGTCCCTACATATATCGCCAAGTTTGAGCGTGTCCTTTACGAAGCAAGAGGTCAGGACTGGCCAGATGTCAACAAAATTTCCACCTTTAGGAATGGCCTTAATTCTACTCTTCGCGGACGACTTTCTCAACAACTCAACCTACCTCGCGATTATACTACATTCATACGCGTCGTACAACAATTAGCAGGCCGCTTCTCTTCGTCTACACAACCTACACAGTCCTACTCCTCTGGCAACCACCACAGCGAACCAATGGACATAAATGCTTTTAGCATCAATTCCATCGACCCATCCTCTCCTCCACGCGCTCGCTCTATTTCCCCTGAGCGTAGAGATCAATATAGAGCTGAAGGCAGGTGTGTACGATGTGGCTCCTTGGAACACTGGGTCAACGATTGCATACTCCGTCCTTTCTCACCAGGACCACAAGGAAGGAAATCAGCCATAGATTTGGGGGATCTACCAGCTGGGGAGGCATTCCCAAAGCCAGTACGAAAGCAGATTGCAAGACCAGGCAGAGTAGTAATAGCAGCTATGAACGACAATGCTTACGATAGCGCGGAGGTAGATTCGGACGATCCTGACCATCCAGATGCCTGGCAAAAGGGTATTTTTCACAATTAGTTCAGATTTTCAACGCTCGGGGCGAGCTCTTTTTAAAGGGGGGGGTGATGTGACGGTTATGGTCACGAGGGCTGGATGTCACATGCTCGCTTAGCGAGGCGCTAGCGCGCACGACCTGTATTTAGTTCCCAGCTCTCTCGAGCTCTCCTTCTTTCCTCGTCTTTTGTCCTAAGAATAGAGTGTTAATTGTTCTGAGTTCTACCTGAAGCACGTCTGTCACATTAAGGTTCTAGGTTAATTTAAATCCTACTAACAATACTAAAGATAATATCTATATTAATTACTATTATTATACTTAATAGCCCTTTATAGTAATATAAGCTAAAATCTAGATAATACTAAGTATAAACTTTCTTAATAAATACTACTATTTTTATCTTACTCTTATCTAAGTAGTATTAAATAGTATATTTAACTATATAGCTAAAAGAAAGTTCCTCATAATACTTTTATATAACTTAACTATTAACTTATCCTAATTAACTTAATCCTTATTAGTAATATTATTAAGTATTTAGTACTAGAATCTACTACCTAAAATACTGTATTACCAATTAAGTTAATAACTACTATAAGTATATTATATAATATACGTAGGGATCTTGTAAGGCTTTACTACTAGACGTAATTAAGTTAGAATAAAAAGTATAATAATAGCCCTAACCATAAAGATATTAGATACCTAGATAGCGTTCCCCTAACGTATTCGTGTGACGAAACCGGTATCTAACTAACTAAAGGCATCGAGTTCGACTGTTGGTATGCGGGAAAGAAGACAACTATCAGGTCGTGTGTTTACTCAAAGGTAAACTCGTCACTTGTACAAAGTAGTCAAGACAGCAAAGGTACT